CTTTAGCTATATCCTGCAAATGTTGATAATTGTGTTTTCATTATACAGCTCAGAATTTTTCTGATTTTCTGTTTGGTGTCTTTTTTTAAAATCATGGATAATTGAGAAGACTTTTGCATACTTTTCATTATTTCAGAATTTATTTCCAGAGTTTTCAGGGTGTTTTTCTTTCCAGTTTAATTCCCTGTGGCCAGGGAACATACTCTGTATTTCTCTTTGATTTCCTGTGGTTTGTTTCATGGTCTATCTTGATGGATAATCTATGTGCATGTAAAAGAATATATATTATGCTTAGGGGTATAGTGCTCTATTAATGCCAACTAAGTCAATATTGTTGATAGTGTGGTACAAATTTTATGTATTCTTACTGATTTTTCTCTAGTTACTAATCTCCAACTGTAACATTGGATTTGATTGTCTCTCTTTACAACTTAGCTAGTTTTTTTTAAGTACCAGTATCTTTTATTGATTATGCTGTTACAGTCCCAGTTTTTTTTCCTTTGCCCCTCTCCACCCAGTAACCCCCTTTCCTCCAGCATTCCCCACCCTTAGTTCATGTCCGTGGGTTGTGCATGTAAGTTCTTTGGCTACTCCCTTCCTTATACTATTCTTAACATCTGCCTGGTTGTTTTGTTCCTACCAGTTATGCTTCTTGATTCCTGCACCATTTCCCCCTCTCTCCCGCTTCCCTCCTCCCAGCTGATAACCCTCCCAATGATCCCCATACCTATGATTCTGTTCCTGTTCTGGTTGTTTCCTCAGTTGGCTTTTGTTTTTATTCTTTAGATTCAGCTGTTGATAGTTGGGAGTTTGTTGTCATTTTAATGTTCATAGTTTTGATCTTCTTTTTCTTAAATAAGTCCCTTAAACATTTCACGTAATAATGGCTTGGTGATGATGAGTTCTTTTAGCTTTACCTTCTCTGGGAAGCACTTTATCTGCCCTTCCATTTTAAATGACACTGGAGTAATCTTGGTTTTAGGTCTTTGCTTTTCATCACTTTATTTCTTGTCAGCATCTTCTGGCCTGCAAAGTGTCTTTTGAGAAATCAGCTGATAGTCTTACGGGAACTCCTTTGTAGGTAACTCTCTGCTTTTCTCTTGCTCCTTGTAAGATTATCTTTTTATCTTTAACCTATGGCATTTTAATTATGATGTGTCTTGGTGTGATCCTCTTTGGGTCTAACTTGACTGGGACTCTGTGCTTCCTGGACTTGCATGTCTGTTTCCTTCACCAAATTAGGGAAGTTTTCATTTATTATTTTTTTCAAATAGATTTCCAATTTCTTGCTCTTTCTCTTCTTTTGGCATCCCTATGATTCAAATGTTGGAACGCTTGTAGTTGCCACAGAGGCTTCTTAACTGTCCTTGGTTTTGGGAGGGTTTTTTGGGATTCTTTTTTCTTCTTGTTGTTCTGATTGGTTTTTTCTTTTTGCTTCCTTTTGTTCTAAATCATTGAACGATTGTCAGCTATATGGTTGTTTCCCTGTAAATTGTTATTTATTTCAATTAATGAATCCTCCTTTTCTGACTGAATTTTTTTATGTTGCTGAGGTCTTCATTAAGCTCCTCAATCATCCTTATAACCAGTGTTTTGAACTCTGCATCTGATAGATTGTTTATCTCCATTTCGTTTAACTCATTTTCTAGAATTTTGATCTGTTCTTTTATTTGGGCCATGTTTCTTTGTCTCCTTGTTTTGGCAGCCTAGCCTCCCTGTGTTTGTTTTTATGTAGTGGTAGAGCTGCTTTGACATTGTGTCTTGGTAGTATGGCCTAATGTAGTAGGTGTCCTGTAGGGTCCAGTGGTACAGCCTTCCCTATCATCCAAGCTGGGTATTTGAGGGTGCTCTCTTCATGTGGGCTGAGCACACGCTCCTCTTGGAGTTGAGCCTTGATTGCTGTTGGCAGATCAATGGAAGGGATTTATCCAGGCCAGTCAACTGAAAGTATTGACTGTGATCACTTACTACCAACCTTCATCCTCTGTGGAGGGTCAGCTGTGCAGGGGCAGAGTTGTAGTTCTCCTTCGTGGTCTGTATCTGTGTACTGGGTGCACTGGTCCTGGGGTTTGCTGGGTGTTGTGGGCCAAGGTAAGCCCCCACCTTTGTTTTGCCTGGGGCCACCCTGGTTGAGCTGTCAAGTATTCTGAGAAGGTTACTAATTGTGCTTGGCTTGGAGATTCCCAGATAGAGCCAAGCTGTGAATCTGGGCTGGCTGCTGAGAGTACCCAGCCTGGAGCTCACTAAGGGCAGGTTTTGGTTGTTTGATAGGATTTAGGATGTTGTGAAACAGGAGCCAAGATCTTCCATTCATATGGAAAAGCATCTTGGGTAGGCCTTTAAGTTGAGTGGGGCTGAGTCTCTGGGGGTCTCCAAGGTAGGTCAAACAGTGTTAGCCAGGTTGATGAGTCTCAAATATGGCACTAGCCTGCTGGTTCCATGGCTCTTTATGAGGAGGGCTCAGAAAAGAGACAATGGCCTCTGGTCACCCCAATGTCAGGCATTTCAGCCTCTCACAGTATGCTACCAGGTGCCCTTCAAGCTGCCACCCTGGTGCTGGAGCTCTGAGGATGTGAAATTGAGTAGGTGAGTCCATATATGGGTTCTTTAAGAGGAACTGTTTTGGGCTTCAGAAGTTTCTAATACCAACTCAATCCCTGCTAACATTTGTAGCCAGAAGTTGTGGGGACTTATTTTCCTGGCACTAGAACCCTGGGCTGCCATGCCTGGTGTGGGGCTAAGCCTGCTTGCTCCTGAGGTACCCCTTCCAAATTTTTATCCAGCACACACGGATGAGAGACCAACCTGTTCTCTGGCTGCGCCCCTCCTATCAATCTCAGTGGATGTGGTTTCTTTAATCCCATAGTTGTCAGGCTTCCATTAGTTCCATTTACTTCTGCAGTTGCCTATTTCTGATGGTTTTGAGTGGTGGTAGTTGTATAGTTTAGTTGTAATTTTGATGTGGTTGTGAGAAGAGGTGAGCCATCTCTACCTATGCTGCCATCTTGACCAGAAGCTCTTTTGTTTGTTTGGGGTTTTTTTGCTCCATGTATTTGTCGTTGGTAATGGCTTGACATACAAGTCACATAACATACAGTTTACCTTTAAAGTATATATAATTCAGTAGTTTTTAGTATATTCAGAGTTGTGCAATTATCACCACTATCATAAAATATTTTTATCAGCTTAAGGAGAGATACACCTTGTTTATGGATTGGACTTTTTAGAGATTGCTCCCCAATCCTATACCCCCTTCAGCTCTAGGCAACCATTTATCTCATTTCTTCTCTCTGTATTTGTCTGTTATAGATATTTCATATAAGTGGAATGACATAACATGGCTTTGGTGATTAGCTTTCGTTTAGCAAAATGTTTTCAAGGTTGTTCGTATATTTTGAAGCTCTGTTAATAGATGATTATATATTTAGAATGATTATTTCTTCTCCATGAATTGACCCCTTTATCATTATAGAATACCTTTTTTATCCTTGGTAATATTCTTTGTCCTGAGCTCTACTTTGATGTCAGTACAGCCATTTGAGCTTTCTTATGATTAATGTTTGCATGTTACATATTTTCCCATTGTTTGGCTTTTCACCTATATGCTTGATTATCTATATTGTTTAATGTAGATACTATATATCTTGTTTTTAGTCTTTTCAATGATAATTTGTCTTTTAATTGGCATATTTAGACCATTTACATTTAATGTACCAGTAAATGGGGATTTAAATTTTCCATCTTTTTGTGTTTTGCCCTTTTTCTTTTTTTGCCCTCTTTCCTGTCTTTTTAAAGCATTCCATTATGCCTTTACTATTTCCTTATTAGTGATTGCTCTAAAGTTATCAGTCTACTCTCAAGTATATAACTCTATATGGAATGTGTTAACCTTTCAATAGCGTACTGCCATTTATTCTCCCACCCCCGTTTCTGAACTTTGCGCTAATTGTTGTCGTGCATTTGTACTTTACATAAGCTATAAAACTCCCAATATGCTATGCTACTTTAGCTATAAGTATTTCCACAGAGTTTAAAAATGAGAATACCTTTCATATTTACTATTCCTTGTGCTCTGTATTCATTTAAATAGACTTATATTTTCATCTATATATAATTTCCTTCAGTCTAATGAGATTCCTTTACATTTTTCATTGTGCTGGTCTTCTGGTGACAGATTCTCTCAGCCTCTATCTGAAAATATTTTTTTCACATTTTGAAGGTATTTTTGGTAGATAAAGAATTCTCAATTGACTTTTTCTTGCAATACGTTAAAGATACTCTGTTCTCTTCTGACTTGTGTTGTCTCTAAAGGGAAGCCTGCGGTCATCCTTATCCTTTCTCTTTAACACTGTTTTTTAAAAAATGATTGTGATTTACCTTGGTATTTTTTTTATTTAGTTGCTTGGAAAATCTAAAATCTATTTTTTAAGCATTTTCTGTAAACATGTATTTGTATACTCCTAATCAAATGGGGGATATTTTAGGGTTATATTTAAAGACAAGCAAATAAATTGGTAATATTTTATTTCATTAGTACTTTTTAAATGAGTATGTCTTAATTTATTAAGGGTTATTTAGGGGTTTAGGTACCATTGCAGTTATATACGTTTTCATTGAAAGAAAATACTAGCTTCCCACATACTTACTCTAATTTTTATGTAGTATTTTCAACTTGGGCACTTGAATTTGTTGAAGTATTGGCCTTAACTTTAAGACAAAATAGTTTTTTTATTTGTATAATTAACCAATTCAGATTGTTTTAATTTTTCAAAATATTGTTACACATAGCTATAACATAATGAAGTGAGTTGTTTTTTATCTTTAGGTTGAAACTCATGTGTGGCAGTATCCCTCTGTTTAAATATGTAAAGTGGTCTGCTGATTATAATTTATTTCTAAGTACTTTGGTTTTGAATGTAAACCATTTTTACTTTGAATTTAATAAGGACTTAACAGAATGAAACATTAATGGCAGATTCTTATCTCATGTTCTTTTTCAGGCTTAATCAACCCCGAATAACCAAAGATGTTATTTGTTTTCATGCTGAAGATTTCTTAGAAGTAGTTCAACGAATGCAGTTAGATTTACATGAACCTCCACTATCCCAGGTATATTTTAAACCATTATTGTATTCAGTTTAATGTTTATTGGGAAAATGACTTACTGGTATTTCTTTTTTCTTTTTTTAGTGTGTCCAGTGGGTCGATGATGCAAAACTTAATCAATTGAGGAGGGAAGGCATTCGCTATGCCAGGATTCAGCTATATGATAATGACATTTATTTTATCCCAAGGAATGTTGTTCATCAGTTTAAGACAGTTTCAGCTGTATGCAGTTTAGCATGGCATGTTCGGCTCAAGTTATATCACTCAGAGGAAGACACTGCTCAGAATACAGCCACTCATGAAACAGGCACATCACCAGATTCCACATCATCAATTCTTGGATCTCACACTGACAATATGATTTGTGCTGTAAGCAAAACCTCTTTGGAGTCTATTTTTTCAGATAAACTTCATTCTAAATATGAAATACAGCAGATTAAACATGAACCTGTTGCATCTGTAAGAATCAATGAAGAATCTGTGAATGTTTTTGTTTCTGAAAAGACTAGAGCACCGAATAATATGGATGGCAAGAATATTAAAGCAAAATTGGATCATGTTCAATTTACAGAATTTAAGATTGGTGTGGACTCCAAATTTGAAAATAGCAGCAAAGATTTAAAGGAGGAATTGTGCCCTGGAAGTCTCTTAAGTCTAGTTGATACAAGGCAACATAGTTCAGCACATTCAAATCAAGATAGAAAAGATGATGCTAAATATGTACATACCATTTAAAATCCTTTAAAAAAAACTTAATAATGTAATAAAATTCATGAATTATGAAAGCAAGCCAAGGACTTGCTCCCAAGTCTGTTACAAAATATAGTTTATGTAGCTTTGTAACATTCCTCAGTGCCTGTCCATAACTGTGAAGTATCAAAGCACTTAGGGCCAGATGCACTGTAAACATTGCAGGTTTAAAGAAATGGAGTCTTTAAAAAGTTATTTGAGTTGGAGTTGTAGGTTTTAGGATAGAGCTGACATTAACATATATATATATATATATATATACACACATATATACATACATATGTATATGTATATATGTATATACATACATATATACATATGCATATATATATGTGTGTGTATATATATATATTTTGTAATATGACCCAGAATTCTTTTTGGACAATTTAAGGCTTTTCCATGGAGCTTATTTATACCAATTTTTTTTTTTTCCATTTTAAATGTGTCAGCACTGTAGTGTAAATAGCTTTAAAAATTTTTTTAGTGTGATTTATACTGAAATGTGAGCCACTTAATAAAGGTTCATAATAAATAAGTTTTTTGTCGGGTATGCAAAAAGAAAAGTGAAAATTCAGTTAAATCATATATTTGATCTCATGTGTCTGCTGGTGTATCCATTTAGAGTGGTAAAGGAGTGCAAATGTATATATTCAAATCTAGTGAATATTTAAATTCCCCACATTGTGCAAGCATTTTTAAAACTAAGATTCAGTTATGAAAGCATATTTATATATGTGTGTGTGTGTATGGGAATATATATGTATATCTTATTTTACACAACTCCTTGAATTGCTGAATAAGATGAATATGTGAAACTTCCTAGCCCTACTCCCTGCCATACATTTTAAAATATTTATAATCAACATTAAAAAGTCAGTTTAGGTAATAGAAAGAATTTTGTAAAGTTGGGCAAAAAAAGGTCTCTTAGTTATTTAACCCTTCTAATTAATGAAGTTCTGTGGACAGAATACATAGCCCCTAACATAAATTTTCTTTATAGTGTATGGAATGATATGAAGTTGAGAAAATTTTCTTATTAATAGGCACATTTGTTATACTTAATAGTAGCTGAGTACAAAATATTTACAGAAAATTTAACTGTGAGGAGTTAAAATCCTTATACATTTTCTTGTACATTTTTCTTGCACAACAGGAAGAAAATACGACAAATATAAAATCTTAAAATAAGGGCAGTAACTCATACAGAAATGTAGCTATCAAAATAAGATGTGTTTATCTTTTCTTTCTAAGGATCCCTCTCTGCCTACCATAGCAAGGTAAATGCACATAAGGAGTACAGCTGATCCTTCAACGATGTGGGTTTGAATTGCACATGTCAATTGAAAAAATCTGTGTGTAAGCAGACCCACACAGTTCTCTTGTTCAAGGATCAACTGTACTTCTTTTTCAAAAGAAGCTCTACAAAGTAAAATTAGGGTAGAAAACAGGATTGCCAGTGCTTAGCTAAAGAAAAACAAATGTCTTCAATGATGGACTTTTTCAGCACTATTTTAGTTGCTTCCACTACTGTAATGAATAAGTCAAACAAATGTCTTTAATGTATTCTTTGATATAAGGAATTCTGCTCATTACAAATCTTTTTAATTTCTTTGTTATTTTTCTGGGCTTATACTTTGGTTGATGACTTTCAACTGGGGTTCTTTGTGCTGCCATTTGGACTAGACTTGCTATTCTATTTCAGTAGTTTCTGCTCTAGCTTCTTTTGTGGACCCATAAAACACTTTATCTTTCTGGTTAGGAAGAAGCCACTTAGAGGCATTTCATCAGAAGAAATAAACTGTAGCAATGATGTCCTTTCTGTCCCCCAGTTTAAAAAGGGTAGGCACATATTATTGGAAATCTCAGTGGTTTGTAGGAAGTCAATATATTTGCATAGGAATTTTTATGGAATAAGGAAGGTATAAATCATAATATAAATAGAGACACTTTTATATCTTACTGTCTTACCCTACTCCTCACTTTAATCTCTTTAAAGCTAAATTTATGTATTTGCACCTACCATTTCAGGAGACAAAAGTTTGTAACAAACCAATATTGAGAAATAGGAGTTTTCCTGGTTTTCTTCTTTTAATTGTAGGGTAGTATAACAAGATTTGTCTTAAGTTCTAATTTTCCAGTAGCATACACATAGATACATAAGATCATACTGCAATAAAATATATTTAGAGTATCCCCCCAAAATATATGAGCCTTAAACTTTTAAAGATATATCTAACACAACAATAGCAGATAGTTTTATTGTTTCCTGTATAGCCTAGAGTCAAACTTCTCCATCTTTTGGAAATTTGTTTTGTAAAATGTTTACATCCTTCTGGATGTGAAATACAAATCAGTGAGCTCAGATTTCAAGATAAAGCCTTGTCACCTTGGATAATGCTTAATGTTCCTCATTTTACGGGTTATAATTTCAAAATCCTCTTCAGATGCAGTCTGAAAACTTTTTGATTACCTTTTTACACACAAATAATTTGTTTCAATATTGCATTATATTGATGGTTTCCTAGGTAGTACATTCCAGTTCCTCATCTGAACACACTTTTTTTTTTGCTGTTATTTCCAATTTCTTGGGCCAGAACAATCAAGCACTTAAAATATACAGTTTCTATATGATCTTATACTATATAGAATAAAGAGTTCTTACATAATTAATTGATACACAGACCTTTAAAAAAAATAAAGTACCTCTTTGGTGTCTATGATAGTACTTTTTGTTTAATTGCTTTTGTTCATGCCCTTTATCTAAGTGATACATATTCCATACTCAGGTTAGCTAGTTAGGTAGCAAAATAATTAAACATTCATGATAGTTGAAAACTTTATAAAAGCCATATTCATTACCTTCCTTGTCACTAAGGCAGTTGACCTTCAATAAAGATTAGGTTAATCTAGCACAACATTCTGTCTGTGTGTGCATGTGTGTAAGATTATTGGAAATAATGCTTCCACATCTATTTTTAATCTATTCTATAACTTTGGGGGGATGGTCTTGGAAGGTAGGAAAGATTTTATGTCTTGGGTTAAGCCTTCAAGGTATTTCATTAGTATTCCTGAGTGTAAAACAGTTTTTTTTTCCTTAAACAGATATGGCAGGTAAGATAATTTTTGTAAATAGTAGATTAGCACTATTTTGATAAGTGGCATTCAGTTATTTTTTTGGACAAGTTCATTGTCATGTAAAGCAAGTATCTTAAAATTCATTTTACATTTAGCAAAGGTGCAAGATTTGTTTTGGAATTTGAGAGGAATATTTTCTATGTCTTCCACCTTTCAATAAATACTAAAATTGGTAACCATAATCTTTTTCCCTTTGTTTTGTAATTAATTTTTTACATTTGACATTTTCATCTCATCTTTAAAAGTTCTTGTTTTTCTGCCTTCAACAGAAGCCATAAGGTTCTGGAAGTGATTCCAATATGAAAGTCTGTATGTCCTCTGAACTGATTATCAAAAGTTGACTTATGCCAACAGAAAATATTGAGGGTATTACTTTAAACAAATTTGTTAAACTAATTAGGTATGGGTGCTGGGATGTCATGGTAAATAACCTCCCTTCCTTCTAGACATGACTATTTAAAGCTCAGGAGGGGAGGACAAAAGTCCCATTGTTTTGAAGATATTTTTAAGCTGGTAAAAGTGACAGGAAGGATTTTAGGTCTTTAAGAGTAGCTTTTACTTAATCTTTCTTCCATCTGATATAATTAGTCGTACCTCAGTACCCATGGGCTTCAGAACTTGTCAAACTGTGTACTTGTCACAGTTTTTTAAAAAAGATTTTATTTTCAGAGAGGAAGGGAGTGAGACAAAGAGGGGGAGAAACATCAATGTGTGGTTGCCTCTCATGCACCCTCTACTGGGGATCGCCAGCAACCCAGGCATGTGCCCTGACTAGGAATCGAACCGGTGACCCTTTGGTTTGCAGGCTGGCGTTCAATCCACTGAGCCACACCAGCCGGGGCTATTTGTCACATTTTGACAAGAAAAAAGTTGTTTCAGTACTGGGCACTGCTTGGCATTTGTTGTAATTGCTAGAACATGTGTGAGTCACCATGTACCCTGCAAGAGAAAATGCTTCATCGCTTGTCACTTGTGAGGTATTCATTGGTTTCGGCACTCATCCGGAGTTCCAGAATGAATTAAGATGAGTACCGAGGTTCCACTGTACTTTGATGTGTCAACAAAATTTTTGTGGTTTTAGAGTATGTTGTCTATTTCATGAGTTACATTTGGTATGTTTGGCACAGTATAACTCATAATTAAGAGGGCAACTCAGGAGATGTATAAATCCCTTTATCTCTGCCCTGGCTTTTCTTGTTCAGTTCTTCCTGTAACCCACTGCACACTGCAGATGGAAATGATCACTGTTTAGAATGCCATGTACAAGGAGGCTAGCAGGATCTATTCCTGTTTTAAGTTCAGAGACATTGTATATTGTATCTGTTAGGAGAGCAGGGAAGGGAGAGCAAAGCATCTTGCAGTTCATCTTATTTTCCCTTCTAGGACTTGGACCCAATCAGAGAATATGAATGAGCTGAGGATAAAATGTGGGAAAACAGAATTTATATTAGTAGAAATAAAAAGAAATACTAGTTGTATGCTTTATTACTATTACCTGCCTTCCAAGAAATGTGCTATTAAAGTATAAGACATTGTATACATTTTGAAATTTATTAGAATTTGTGGATCCTTGGTTTTTTAAAAGATTTTACTTATTTATTTTTAGAGAGAGGAAGGGAAGGAGAAAGAGAAAAACATCAATGTGTGGCTGCCTGTTGCATGCCCTGTACTGGGGACCCAGCCCTCAACCCAGGCATGTGCCCCGACTGGGAATCAAACAGGTGACACTTGGGTTTGCAGCCTGCGCTCAATCCACTGAGCTACACCAGCCAGGGCTTCAAGTCTCTTCTTTCCTTGAAATTTTTTGTTTTTAACTTAGCCAGATTTTTATATGGAAAAATCTCAGGTCTGTCTTTTCAAAGAAACCCTTCTCCTGAATTTGGCTTTTGTTTATGTTACTGTTTCATCTCTACTCCTGATTGGCAAAGTTTTTGAAAAATCTGTCTGCCTTCACCTCCTCGTCAAACTACAGTTTCATTTTAATCTTCAGATTTAATCACTAAACTGAAATGTTTCAAAGGTCACCATTTGCCAAATCCAGTGGGTACATTTCTCAATTCTTCTGTTTAACCCTTGTGGTGTTATCACTAATTTATTCCTTAAGACTGTATATGAGCTATTTGTTCTTTTTTGTTTTTCCACTTCTTCGGGTAGCTGCTTTTGCTTCTCCACCACTAGTTAAAGTAGTCTCCATGGTTCTTACCTTTAGGTCTCTACACTGGGTCCCTGAACAATCTTCATAATTCCATGACTTAAGTCAGCCTTGGTTCTCTAAATTCTAATGATCCTTGTAATCAAATCTAAACTCTTCTCTCTTGCCCCGAAACTTTTCTCCTAACATGGTTACTGGCATAGCTGTTTTCTCTACACAGTCTTTTCATAGTAATCTGATTTCTCTCTCTTTTCCTCTGTGTACAGTGTATCATGAGATTTTCTTGAGTTGACCCCAGAAATGTTTATAATTTTTCTACTCCTGTTATAGATGTTCATCTCACCTGGACTTTTAAAGTCACCTAAAATGTTCTAGCTGCCTGCAGTCTTCAGTCCCAACCCCCCATTCCAATCCATTCTTTTAAAAGTTGTAGTTGACATACACTAGTTTCAGGTATACAACACAAAGATTTAATTTAACATATACATTACAGGCTGATCATCAAACTAAGTCTATAACCATCTGTCACCTCAATCAGTTCTCTACCACCACTAGATTAACCTTCCTAAGATAAAAATGATTGTTACTCTTCTGCTTAGAAATGTTACAAGGCTGCTTTCCTGAAGAATAAAGGCCAAATGCTCAGCATAGCACTGAAGAGCCTTCATGATAAGGCCCTTCCTTTTCAGCCTCATCTACTACAATCTCTTCTTCCATTTGATGTACCTAATTTTCAGCTTGAACAGATGGGAGTACTTGCCACTCCCTTTTTGTACTTTTAAAATTCTTTGCCTTGCTGGGGGAAATCTCTGCCTGGGGATACACCATAATGAAATCTTCTCTTTTCAAAATTCTAGTGAAATACCATCTCTGTGTATCATTTACTGATTTCATCTCCAACTGTCCCCTCACTCCACGACTGGTATAAAACCAATTCTTCCCGCTGCTTATTGTATCTCTTTGTGTATTAGTTAAGTACATGTTGGGCTCTAAACAATGAACTAGACTTACAAATTTTCTTTTTCCCTTTATATTCTCAACACCTAATATATAGTACACTTGTTATTTAATAAATATTTGAAGGAACAAAAGTTATTTTATTGGGGATGGTATCATATTGTAATTCTAGAATTGCAAGGAGGAAAAGTTGAGAAAATTACATCAGCAGGAACTATAAAGAAACCAATTTCAGCCCTGGCCAGGTGGCTCAGTGGGTTGGAGCATTGTCCCAAACACCAGAAAGTTGTGGGTTCAGTGTGGAGGCCATAAATATTGTACTGATAATGAAACCTATAAAATTTATCCAGGTCCCCCCCTTCAACTAGTGATACACTGAAAGTTATTACAAACTAAGGATTAAAATTTAATTAAAATGATTAAATGGCAAATATGTTAGAAGCACCTTAATATTTCATAACCTAAGTGAAATTTATTCCTAAGTCTTATTTGGCAAGGCAAAATCTGATTATTTGATTAACAGGTATTCTCAATTTAGCTTGAAAATATTGAAAGAACATGCGGTAGTTGTTTTAGTCTGTGGTATGTATTGGGTTGCAGAGTGAGACAAGGATATAAAGGTGGCACATTTTCACAGATACCCTTCTGTAAAACTACTTCACTGGGATATGCTGAGGGAATTTGTAGCAGTGGGTTGGGGACATATATTTGTTTAATGTTGAGAAATTACTTAATCTGTATTAGTCATATGTAAGTGGGGGGTGGGGTAATACTTAATTGGTGAAAATTAAATGACAACATGAAAATGCTTACTTAGCACATTGCTTGGCATAGCCTAAACACTACAAATGTTAGCTTCTGATCTTGGAATTAACGCAGTAAAAAGAACAGAGAACTGTGTACTCGGTCACCCTAATTTCACATCTTCCTCACTGTCTCTTCTATGTGTTCTCTCAAATTTTGGGCAGAGGATAGGCATCTGGGCAGAAAATTTCATCAAGAGTATGGCGGAGAGGTAGACATCAAAAACAAACTTCTTCCTTTACTATTTGTCCAGGGCTGGAAATACAAAATCATGTCTTGTCACAGACTACATTTTTCCTCATATAAGTGAATTACAAATTTGTAGTGTATAGATGATAGTTGTAGTAAATTTGCTGTGTGGTATGATTACCAGTGTGCTTTAGCTGACTTGAATACAGGGCAAGTAAATGAGAGCATTTAGTGTGTTAGGTAGATCCCTCTCATAAAAGCCTTTACAAGTGTTATCTTTATCTAGCATTTGAAACCTATTTATGGAAATAGTATTTGGAGTTAGCTGGCTCCATTTATCAGTGACCATGGGCTACTTTCACTGATCTGGGCTGTAGTTTCTCCATCATTATAATGAGGAGTTGGGTCCCCCCCCTCCCCCCGGTTCTAACATTCTATAATTCCTGAGGAAGAGTGATGTTGACTGTGCAAACATGACCAATCAGAATTAAAATAAACTCCTTTGGTAATTTGTGTTTTGTTTGGTAATGTAAAACTAAAAGGACTCTGATTTGTAAGGTTAATAACTTAAAATTAGAGAAAGCTTTAGCTCTGTATGTACTAAATACCTATTTACTTATTTGCTATTTTCTACTATTCACAGTTTCAAGTCTTTTAAAAAGTTATTTGTTCACAAGTTGCTTTTACTTAGACTTTGACAAATCTTTTGCCTAAGCAAGATTATATTATTTCTGGCCCATGCTGATCTGCAAAATAATGGCTTCACTAAGAACCTTTCATTTTTCAAGTTCGTTTCTTAAGGCAGTTCTTTTTATAAACACCATTAGCAAACATCTCTGTATTATAAAGGAAGCATCCTATAACTAAAAACAAACAAAGGAAGGTATTTTTCTGCAATACTAATTGTTGATGTATTGTTAGTTTTGCTTTTTCCACCTGTGAGCATAATCTCTATCCTTTATGTATTTCATTACTTAATATTTTAAATGTATTCCAATCACTGAGGCTGTGAAACTGATTACTATTAAATGTACCTGGTCTTCATCCCCATTCCTAGTACAGGAATTTAACACCCTTGGAATTTCTTTTGTGGTGTGATAAAGTTGTCATTTGAGCTTATGTAAATAAGGTGACTTGGAAAGCTCCTAAGTAAGGATGGGGGCTGGTTGCCAGGGGAACCAACCCTGTGATTAAAGGGCTGTAACTTTTCAGTACTCCCTTCACCCCCTAGAGTAGAAAGGCTGCAAATTCAGTTGTGAATGACCAGTGATTTAACTAGTAACTGTAATAAAGCCTCCATAATACCCCAAAAGGATAGGGTTTAGAGAGCTTCCAAGTTGGTGAACAGGAGATGGGGGAAGAGTTGTCTCCTAGAGAGCATTGACCTCAGTGCCCCTATCCCATTCATTACCTTGCCCTATGCATCTCTTCCATCTGGTTGTTCCTGAGTTATATCCTTTTATAATAAACTGATAATCTAGTAAGTAAAATGTTTCTCTTGAGTTCTGTGAGCTGCCATAGCAAGTTAATCTAAGTTGAGGAGGGGGTCGTGGGAATCTCCAATCTATAGACTGTCAGAAGTACAGAAAACCTGGAAGTTGGGTTGGCCTTTGAAGCCTGAGGTGGGAATTAGTCTCTGGGACTGAACCCTTAACCTGTGAATGTGATGCTATCTCCAGGTAGACAGTGCCATAATTAATTCTTTGGTGGTGTAAGGGAAAAAACACATCTGACTTAGTGTCAGAATCAGAGGCACACATCAGTTAACTTACTGTGTGGTTTCAAGTTTATTTAATGTGGCAATATACCAAATTAAGAAAGCAGTTATGCTGGTGCCTTTTACATATGATTCTTACCCAGTTTCCTTGGAGACCTAGCTCAGGGGTCAGCAAACTACTGCCCACTGGCCATAAATGGTTTTATTTGTTTTTTGGGGGTATGGACTGTGAGGCAACAATGAGTTTTAAATGGTTGAAACAAAAATCAAAATGTTTTGTCATATGTAGATACATGAAATTTATATTTCATTGTCCAAAATAAAGATTTATTGGAACATAGTCATGGTCTATTGCTGCTTTCTCACCACAAGACCTAGGTAGTTGCAACAGAAAGTGTAAAATATTTACTCCGAAGCCCTTTACAGAAATATTTTGCTGACTCCTGGACTAGCTGCTTGCATGTAAGCTTTCCTTTTCTTTCCTTGCGAGAGATTATATTTAGGTAATATGTACATGTATACAGTTTTAACTGCACTACAAAATCCTCCTGTCCAGCAAAATTCTGCACTGTTTTAATATGCTCCCCCCCCCAATTTACTTCCAAACAAAAGGCAGTGGTAACAAAAAACTTAGCTTAGAAAAAACTGTCAAACTGATTCTTTCTGAATGTAAACATGAAGTAGCACTCCCTCATTATTTCAGTAACTAGTTTTTCTTCATCCGTAATTATTTAGAAGCACAAATGACCATTTAATTGGTTGTAATGGGGCCATGACACATTAAACTTCTACCCAAATATGTAGGTTAAAAGGTTCTTATTTACTTTAAATATTGACCCATCCTTACAAAAGATTATTTAAAAGTCAAGTGGAAATATAAGGTCCAAAACAAGCTTTATTTAAATAGGGATAATAAAGATATTAATAACTCAAATATTGAATAATTAAGCTTTGGGTTGACTAGAAGTCCATGATTCACCAAGACTATTTTATGGAAGCAATAATAAAATACATTTGGTATTTTTCTCAGTTTTCTTCAAGCTTGCAAAGATTCAGAATGCTTTAATGACAGCTTGTTGAACAGCAATAAAATAAGATGATGTCCTTAGAAGTCAGTCTCTCACAAAAAAGACATTATAGCCAAGCTCTATTAAAGCCCCAGCTAGTAAGGTCCACAAAGGAATGAAGACATAGGACAGATTCATGGTAGTAAACTGTTCCAGTTTAGCACAGAGTGCAAGGCAGAAGGCTAATTTAAGTAACATCGCAATGAGGTACCAGGTTTTTTTTTTAATATTGTGTGATCCATGTCGAGGGTCAAAGCCGGACTTACATCGCCCAGCCATTTTCACAATCAGCATGACCAGAAGAATAGTATCAAATATCCAGACTGGAATAAATATGAGGAACCAGTTCCAAGGTGCCTTCTCATCCAGTTTCAACACCAACATGATCAAGAAGAGTAATGTGAAAAGCCAGGTGAGTAGTACTCTCTGAGCCAAGGACATTCTCATTTAAACAGTTTAAATAGGCTGCTGCAGCGTCGAAAAATGGGAAATATATCCTAAGAGAAGGAAAGAAGGTCAAGATGGTTTTGATAGCAGGGAAAAAAAAAAACAATCACTTCCATTCCTGGTGAACAAAGCTGGCTCTTTCTCACTCACAGATTTCCTAATTTTGAAAACATTCTACTATTCTTCCTTTCAAAACCTGTAGAATTGGTAGCCATCTTGGACAGCATTATAGCTATTGTTCCTTTTAGCCCATGACAATAAAATGTTTAGTATACCCCCTGTTATACTGTTGCTATTCATTACTATCACTCAAGTGTGTAGGCAGTGATGACCTTATTCCTGCATCCCATGCATGTTCTTAACTTCTTTTTGTACATTTGCACATCTACAAATTTTCACTCAATTTCAAGGAATACTAAAAAAAAATCCAAAATCAAATCAGTGAGAAAGGAGGTGGTATCAAGTGAACAGAGGAGAGTTTTAGTAGGAAGGGAATGGTTAGTAAAAAGACTTTAAGTAGAATTATGATGATAAAGAGTTCATTAGGCTAAATAACACAACACCTTAATAATACTATATTTTCATATAGTTTATGGATCTTATATTTTTAAGTTAAATTTGCTCATTTTTATAAATACCTATTTTAGTCTAATTCTTTTATAATTTGTTTTGGTTTGTGGTATAAATCATAATTTTTTTTACTATCAGTAATTAAGACCACTTAAAAACTGACATTTTGTGATTATTAGATGCTACATTACTCAATAATTTTTTGTATCTCTATTTTGTATTACCGCTGTTTATTTCTGCTTTGAACTAGTAATACATGACTGTTACTGGATATGTTCTAGAGGATATATTCTAATATTTGGAAGGCCTAGTACCTACTTACTGTTTTCTTTTCCAGAATATTTTCTGTTATTTTGTCCTTTCATTTTTCAGTAATTCTTAAAAACTTAGAATTTTGATTGCAAGGGCATTAATCTGTAATACTTAGGTATAAACATTTACTTAATCTTCACATATAGGTTTACAGTATATACTTTACATATTCCAGTTTTTTTATATCAATCTTGTGACCATTTGGGAAAAAAGGTAAGTAGAATGGGAAGTCAGAAGATAAACTGCAAGCAGTGGGTTGAGTCAATAAAAAGTAATACCAGCTGACAACACTTTATTTCCTCTTAAAACATTTGAAGAAGATGAAAGATTAAAACATATAATGAGACTATGAAAGTGTCAAGAAGAAATTTCCAGTGAAGGAGAAATCTAAGTATGATTATGAACTCAGGGATATAACCACTGGGGAGTGATACCTGTAGATGGAAGATGACATTGGATACCTGATGGAAAGAGGAAAAGATCAGATAGTTGTCATGGTAACAGCACAGGTGATAGGAGTAAAAATACAGAAAGATAAACAAGGAAAAGGTGAAGAGGGGGCTAGATGAATCAAATGCCCTTGAGTAGCATGTTTAAAAATTATATTTTAGAAATTTGATGTTTTCTGCTAGATGTTTACTACTTTAAACAGTGGGTGGTTACCATGGTGCAAGAGATATATACTCATATTTCAATAGTGCCTTAGGACAAACTCCTAACTCCCCTTCCCATTATACCTATCTGCTTGCCCTCAACTTGTTTATGTAGCTGGCAGGTGCTTCATATTGCAGTATGAAAAGCAGATGCTTTTGCTTTACTGTGCAGGTGTCTTTTCCTGGCCAGAGGATGCCATAATGGGATGTGGTACTTAGCCTGGACAAAAGGTGGAGGGTGTGTACTGATTAATGACCATAAATGGACTTTATTCTGTAAGTTAAGTTTGTTTAATCCACATCTCTGGCATTTTGTGAAACTTTCAAAAGTTTACAATAATGTACTTGCTTATACATAACTTTTCCATCAGCCACTGGATGAATCTTCATTTTTTTTTTCTTCTTATATAGGGCTGAGTAGCAACTAGTCATAGGAAGGGTAGCTGCCCTCAACACAGGTACTTTAGGACTGGAGGTGGGAAGGATGAAAAGGACAAGCTTGTGGCTGTTAAGGTCTATAAAGTGGGAGGCAACAAAGTTCTTCATGCACTTGTACTAAAATTCAACCGGGGAGCACTCTGTTGATACTGTTTCTGGGCGACAATGATTACATGCAATCCCAATTTTATTAATTGGGATTAATATGTTATTTGTTAACATATCCATTAATTTAGGCAGTCATATTTGCTTCTGACTATTGTTTCTCAAAGGAGGGGTTTACATACTCCAAAACAAAAATTTGCTTAACTTAAATATTTGTTTGAGGGAGTTATTTCTGGTACTTTGAAGAGAGTTAAGTATTAGTTCGTATGCTTTCTTATTCACTGTTAAAATTGTGTTGCCCCCAAATGAAAAAAATGAAGGGCCCTGCCCTTCTGAACTCCAGTATCTCGGTGTCAGTGGTCTGTGGATTCATTAGCCCATGGTGTTTCCCATACCACCCCCGTTATCCTTGTCTCGCCACTGCCATTACTCTTCCAAGTGAATTCGCTTCATAGCAAAAACTGCTTTATTTAATGAGCCCACAACACAGCACTCCTCTAAAGAGTCGCTTTCGAAAGGCCCCTGCTGCTACATCCTTGGCCAACTTACCAGTTAACTATCCTTCAAAGGAACTGCGTTCTGCTTATAACTTAGCTGATTTCCGCGCCTAATTGTCCCTAGAACTTAAAGACGTTTCTAAAGTAGCCTCCTCCTTGGTCTTCGAAGGGCGGAGGTCAGCTCTATCTGGACTCACCTCCCCACCCCAATACTGCTCTGTGGGCCAAATACAATCTGCAGTTGAACGCGGTACTAGAAAAAGATCCACAGTGCACACAAGCCTGGTGCGTTTGAGGCTGGGGATGTGAGGGGGTGGGGAGCGGCGACGGCACAACCCACCCAGGCATCTAGAGGCCCGTGAAGGATGTCAGCCCATCCAAGCCCGAGACTCACCTGGCTGCGCCGGTGGCCGGAGAGTGGAGAGAGGCGCGAAGATCAGGGAATTCGCCAGTTCGGATCCTTGGCCTACTCCACACTTTTCCCCCCATTAAATCCAGAACCCGTCACATGATAATTAAGAAAGCGACCTCAGCTCCGCCTCCCCAAACGACCGAGGTAGAGGATTTCTCACTTCTACCTCAGGGCCGCGCCCACATCCGGGGAAGGTTCTCACCGCCCCTGGGCCTACCCTATAGGTAGAGAGGACGTCAATCTGCGTTCAGAGGCTCCTTTCCCTGCGGTAATTGGACTTTTGGCCGCCAGTGGAAACCAACCGACCTTTCTTAACGTTCGCGTTTGTCAAAAGGGCGGCAATAAAAGAGGCCACTTGCCCCGCCTCCCTATTGCTACGGGCTAGAAGGAAAGTCAGTCAAAGTACAGCCTGGAATGTCCGTAGTCCCATTGGACAGATAGATGCCAATCAAACTAGCCAGAGCTCGGATACGCCCCTGCGGGGCGCTCCGCCCCACCCGAGGTCCTCCTCAGCAGCGCGCGGAGACTTTAGGCTCCGGCGCAAAATACTGCGGGAGAGGGGGTGGGGCGACGGCTGTGGAGGCGACGCGCCGCTGGTAGCCTTGTTGTGAGTTCTAGGTCTCTCTCGGTGGTGGCTGTGCTCGCCTCGGCTTCTCCCGCGCACCCCAGCCGCCTCCTAGCGGCGCGGCGCCCGCTCCTAAGGTGAGAGCAGGCATCACCTTCGCGTTTGGGAGGGCCGTGTATAGGTCTTTGGGTTCTGACAGAATCTGGAGGATGGAACAGCGACAGGCGGGACGGAGGTGGGGGCTTCGGGGCCAAAGAATCGCCCTCTACCGCCAGTGACTCCCAGCAGCCGCTGGCACCTGCACGCCGCGGTCAACCGCGGTCCTGTGCCATCATTTGGCGGGCTGCACCGGCTCAGCTGCCCTCCTCCCGAGCCATCGCTGTCTTCGATCCTCAGTGGTGAGGGGCCGAAGCCCAGCGCCGCCTTCCGTCCTTTCTCCCTTTCCCGCGGCCCCTCTGCTTCGATTCCTTCCACTTGTGCTGTGCTCGGGTTGCGTCGGGTCCTGGAGGGCGTGCAGCGGCATTGGTGGCAGAGCCGGGCCGGCGGGGAGCGGGCTCGGGAGGAGGGGTTGACTGGGAGTGCTGGAAGGGCTGGAGGGGAGGGTCGCTGCCCTGCACCCACTGAACAGGCAACAGTTTGGTTTTCTGATTTCAGCCCTGAACAAAACGGGTGCTGAAATCCTTCGCTCCGGCCTTAAGTGATATTTCGCGTCTGGAAACGGTACGGCGGTACATCAAAGTGTTTAATCTTTTCTTATTTTTAACTCTCTGATGTTGACAGTGTTCTGGTATTGTCCCTCCTAGTCGGGGATTTTCCAACTCAACACCTTCTCTATAACTTCTGGGATCATTTTTAGTCTGGCAAGAAAAAAAAGGACCTGCTTTATATCAACATACACTGAGTAGGGAAGTACAGAATCTGGAACAATTTATTAATCTAAGTATCTAAATACCAAATAATTAAGAAATTCATTGTAAATGTATTAAATATTTTGTATTTTACACTTGTTCCTTTTGTTAATGATATATCCTGCTTACTTTGAGTTTTTTTGTTACTCGTGGAACTTTCATAGATTTTGCTTAGCTTTAGCCCACTAGACAATTTAAGATTTCTCTTTTTTATTTTCCCCTGAGACTATGGCTATAGCCTTAGTATTTGCTCTTGTTGTCAGGGATTAAGTATTTTTTTTTAATTTGTTTTTTCCCAAACTGGACTTTTTCTTAACAGTTTTAAAGTTAGGGAGAATTCTGAGAACTTAGAAACTATGCACTCTAGCCTAGGAAGCCTTAAAATAGCTTAACAATTTGAGATGGTAACTTTTTGGAGTAAGGGTTGCTAAGTTTAAGAGAAGGAAATGAGTATTCCCTGTTAGTTGTAGTAGCTCAACCTCCAGATTCTAGAGGAAAGGAATAAGAGGTCTGGGGAGAATGAGCCATGTCTAAGCCGAGATGCCAGGTGGTTCCAGGATAATTTATTTCTGGGGAAATAATCTGCCTCCCTCACAGGTTACTTGTCAGCATGCATCAGGTAGTATTAATAGTTAGGTTTTAGCAAGGTAGAAAATCCCTGTGTTTTCATTTTCACCGCTTGCTGGCAGGGCATGAAGGTGTGGTAAGCAAATCAAGTATAGCGTACAATGGAGGCACTTACTTCTACATAGTCAGGCTTCCAAGGGTAAACTCTTTTTTTGAGTCCAAACTGGCACTGGACGGAGAGACCTAAAAATGAAGTAGGTGGCCTAAGCAAATTTTAAACCATAAACCTTTTTGGCTAGATCATTGCATGCAAAATTGTAAAGAAGTAATGAGAAAAGTCTTCAGTAGACTGAGGCGAAGAAAATTCACAGTGACATGTGCAAAAATTAGGATCAAAGAATAGTTGGATTGCTTATTCAATATATTATCTCATTTATCCTTATAATCCTATGTTGTAGGTACTGTGATTACTGTCCTCCCTATTTTATATGAGTTAATGAAAACTAAGGTTAACTCACTTGTTCAAGATTTCTCAGCTGATGAGTTGATGGAGGTGTGAGTCACATCCAAGCAATCTGATTACCAAGCCTGCGTGGTGGTTATACTTTACCACCACATTAAAAGTGGCTTCTTAGAGACTTAGTAGAAGGAGACTAATTATTGGAAAATAATGCTGCAAAACCATAAACTGAATAAGGGTTATTGTACATATGCAGTAATACTTTGAGATCATTGTACAGTTGGTACTGTTGAGTTTGCTGTGGATATAAGGATGGAGTCATCTTTCCTGTCTCTGAGGAACTTTGTTTAGCAGGAGAGATTTGAACAAATGATGATGTATACTACAAGAGAATGCTGTAGAGTCTGTGGTTTCGTGGAAAGAGAATTCAGTTGAAGTTGAGACAAATTAGCATTTGAATTCCTGTTTGGCTTTGTGTCCTTAAACCTGATACCAAACCTTTTTCAGCTTCAGTTTTCTTATATTAAGGGGAGAGAATAATACTTCAAAGGGGAGTATTAAGTATTAAACAAAATATGTAAGGTACTGGCACATTGGAAAGTCTTGAATAAAGAAGAAAGAACAAATAATTTTAAGAGACAGAATAGAAAAGGGATGTGGGGTTTGAGCTGGGAGCTATCACTGGAGCTTTATCACTGGAGACTGGTAGCTTCCATCGGTAGGGAAGGAGGGCATTTTACACAGAATGGAACAGGATTATAGATGGTTGAGGAATGGCAAAAAATTATGGCTTTGTATAAAAACTATTCGTGAAGGCCTAATTTAAATGGTAATTGTATATAAATGTGGCTGGGCAAAGAGAATACTACTCAATTTTGCTGGTTGGAAATTCCATGCATAAATACTAAAATTATAGGAAAACCTCAACCATTTGTACAGTGTTATATTTTTATTCAATATTTACCTTTAATATTTTATTTTCCCAGTGTCAATTAAAACTTCGTTTTCAAACCTATCCACCTACGCAATGATTTCACTGTTTTGTTGTGATATTTCATTCTAGCTGGTACAGGAGACTAATAATACCATTGGAGGAATTTGCACTTAATTTGTGGAAAGTATTTTGGGATTATTTTAAAAAGAAGAAGAATCTTAAAATGATTCTTGTCTTTCCCTACCCCCTTGACCTACTCTCTAGCCATAGAGTCAGTATTGCAGAGTACCCTTTGCATATATGTTCACTTTCTTTTCAAATCCAAACTTGAGACATGACAGTAGGACAGAATATTTTAAATTGGGACTGTCCTTGAAAATCTAAGAAAATGTCCCATTCATATATTGAATATCTTCCCTTTAGGTTAGCACAGAGCCGTAAATATGTTATATTTATAAATGTGGATCACTTTATGATCAGAATCATAACTTAAGTTGAAAATACTAAATAACATTTAGGAAAGCTGCATTCTAAAAAGTCCAGCTTGTTAGCCTCATGCAAATTGCTAAAATGACACAAAATATAGAAGTGAGTTTTCAGATGAGAAAAACCAACTACTTCCTAGAACAGGTAGTTTGAGAGCACTAGGAAATAAAATATGCTGGACTTCATTCTGAATAGTGAACAGGAACTGGGACAGGAAATGACTGTGGCTGAACCACCACCTGATAATAATCATAACGTGATTAATTTTGACATTTAATGAGAGGAAGTAAAAGGAGGAAAAGTGCACAGTATGCAGCTTTCCAGTTTCAGAAACAGTAGAGGAAAGGGTCTGTTAAAAGTATATACAGAAATTTTGAAGACATGTAGTAGATACTGTGATTGTTGCATGAATAAAAGCACCTTACTAAATAAAACATTCAGTAAAAGGTCTATTACAGATAGCAAAAAACCTATGAAAGTTATTTGACACAAGTTTTGGTGTTCTATAGACCTAGGGTTCAACTGTTAATTCTGCAGTCTCTCTGCTATGTGACTTTGGTCTCATTATGTAAACTTTTCACGGTTCAGTTTTATTTAATCATATAGCGAAGATAAAAACTGCATGATTTTGAAGACTATATGAGCTAACGTATGGAAAGCTCTTGACACATTGCCTGGCTTGTAAGACTTGCTCAAAAATGGTTGCTGCAATTATTTGACTAAGTTGAAATACACACACACACACAAACACACACACACACACACACAATCTCAAATAAAGTAAGGAAAACCAGAAAATGGCAAACAAATTAAACCTTAAAAAAAGGCAATAGATAACAAGCAGAGTTATTGGGTTGGCTAAAAAGTCCACTTAGTTTTTTCCCTAAGAGACACATTTTTCATTTTCACCAATAACTTTATTGATTTGGACATTTTGAGTATGTCAGCTATCTCCTGCTACAGGTTTTAAGTGGGTAGAGGCCAGGGGTGCTGCCTAAACATCTTTGATTGCATAGGACAGCCCCACAGCAAAGAATTATTTGGCCAAAGTGTCATCAGTACCAAGAAACTTTGCATACCACTTTTTTTTTAAGATTTTTAATTTATTTTATTATTTATTTATTTATTTTATTTTTTTAGGGAGGGAAGGGAGGGAGATAGAGAGAGAGAAACATCAGTGTGCGGTTGCTGGGGGTTATGGCCTGCAACCCAGGCGTGTACCCTGGCTGGGAATCGAACCTGCGACACTTTGGTTCGCAAGCCCGCGCTCAATCCACTGAGCTACGCCAGCCAGAGCGTACGTACCACTTTTGACACAT